AAGTAAAATAAAAGTTACTTTTATTCTCTAGGTCAATGAGCAGGCTAGCATTAGCTAGAAGCTGGGGTTCTTCAAAGATAGAACGTAGCATTCTTTCTAGCCTCCTATTTCCCAGTGACCACAAGTCTCACACAGGGGCCCTTATCAGCCTCCAGGGTTGCTGGCCAGTGCCCTGTACAGGGCAGGAGGTTGACTGCACTTCCTAGGACATGTTCAAACCATGCTTCCAGCCAAGTGACGATCCAGAAGGGTCATCCCAGGAACTTGAAAAACTCACAGGGCTTCAGACCACTCCCCGAAACAATTAAATTCCAGAAGATGGGCATGTGAGGGTGGGATGCTGGCAGCTGCTGCCTTCAACCAACTGTGGACCACTACTGATCTTTCCAATGTCTTGCCTCCGCTCCAAACCCACAGTCTGTATTCTGATCTCGCAGGCTGTGTTCACTCACTAAGAGCCCTGTTGAACATGCCATCTTTATCCTTTGTTTTCTCAAATCCATTTCCCCACGCCTTGTGCTTTTCAGTCTCCACAATAGGCCTTTCAATTTACAGTCATCTTTGAATGTTAGCAGGTTAAACATTACATCACTGTCCAAAAGCTGATGGCATTTGCCAAAAAGAGAACATGACAATTATAATTGACAGGTGAACTGTCTGAAAGACCTATATGTTCATGTGAGAACATTTGCAGGACCTCTGACTATAAGTTTTAGATCTTCATATTCTGTTGTGTGACTTTAACTGGGCAGACACAGACAATTGTCCACTCACACTAGATAGGGCATCAATAACAGACTAAAAAAAATAATTCTACCTAAGTATAGCTTGGTGAACCAATGAGTTTATTTTGATCACCTATAAGAACATGGACTGGGTGGTAGTGGTGCTTACAGGAAGGTGGTAACCCATGGGCAGCTAGCTCCTCAGGGCACCCTTTAACAGTAACTGCTTGATGGTCATGTAACCCAGAGGGTGCCTCCCAAGTCTGAGTTTTGTTAGCTTCCTGAGGCTCTTAGCCCGCATCCCCTGTAGGAGGCGATATTTCACTGGAGGAGAACAGGCATATAAAGCCTGTCTATTCAGTGGTTTTGAGCTATTTTAAGGCGTGGACTCTCAAAAACTCTAGTGCAAGGTACAAACAACTCCAAGGAAAACCCTTGCATGAGCACACACTCTGTCTACCCCGAGCACACTTACCTGAGCACACACTCTATCTATCCTGAGCACACTGTCTGTCCATCCTGAGCACACAGTCTGTCTATCCTGAGCACACTCTGCCTATCCTGAGCACACAGTAAGTCCATCTTGAGCACACAGTCAGTCCATCCTGAGCACACATACTCTCTTACCATAGGCATGCTAGCAGTTTTGAAGGTTGTTCACTGCCCATATTATTTTCTGTTTTTCTTGGTTGACTCAAGACTATGAGAAAACCGTTTCTGTGTGTGGTTTGTCCGTGTGGGTTTGCAGGTAGAGGAGGGCTGTCGGCGTTGATCATCTCCTCCACAGGTGGGCTCAGAGATAGAACTCAGGTCCTAGGACTTTCCCACTGAGCCATCTTACTGCCCCCCAAAGATTTTTTTTTAAGTGAAGAGAAGTTTTTTTTTTAAGAAGCCACAGTGTGAGTGCAGTCTTCTGTCAGCAGCAGTGTTTGGCCTAAAGGAACCAGGGCACAGGACAAGGGAACCCTAGTTCTCTGGGCAGAATTGGGGTAAATCCCACCATAGACTGCAGTGCCAAAGCAGGCATGCCTGTAGACAAAGTGACCACTAGATGGCACCACAAAACCAACTAATTTTCTGGTTTGGGCTCTAGTGTTCCATTGCTAGATTTAGGAAACAAAACAGCTGTAGAGGTAAGTCAGTAGGACTTGTCTGGCTGCTGCTTCTTCTTTTCTTCTTCTTCTTCTTCTTCTTCTTCCTTCTTCTTCTTCTTCTTCTTCTTCTTCTTCTTCTTCTTCTTCTTCTTCTTCTTCTTCTTCTCTTCTTCCTCTTCTCCTCCTCCTCCCCCTCCTTCTCCTCCTCCTCCTCCTCCTCCTCCTCTTCTTCCTCCTCCTCTTCCCCCTCCTCCTCCTCTTCCTCCCCCTCCTCCTCCTCCTCTCCATATTATATAGAAGGGTTAGTTAAGATAGGCTTACCATAAATAAGGGTCAGGGTCGCCTTGCATTCTTCCCTGAAGAAAAGTTAAGGAGGGGGCCCTGGCCCCAGCTTTCCCGTCTACCCTAGAAACACATCTTAGTTTTCACGCTTCTCTGGCAGAAGGGCATTGGCTGTGTGAGCCTTCCAGGTTTCTAAGTAAAAGTATAAAAGTATCACATAATTTACTTGACTGAGACTCCAAAATCAATAAGAGCACATTAGCCACATTTTAATGTAATATTAGAGCATTTTTGTGTGATATTGAAATATTATTTAAGTTCTAATTTATTTTTAGTTTTTTCCATTTTAAATTTATTATTCAAAGATTTCATACATACATTGTCCTAGTTAAGTTTTTACTATGACCAACACTATGGCTGGAAACTCCGAGAGGAGAAAGGGTTATTTTAGTCTATCATGAAGCAAAGAGACAGCAAACAGTCAAAGCAGGAGCTGAAATGGAGGGCATGGGGAACACTGCTTTCTGGGTTGCTGCCCCTGGTTCTGTTTGATTTCTTATAGACCCCAAAACTACCTGCCTGGAGAGCACACCACTCACAGTGGGCGGGTCCTTCCACATCAATCACCAGTCAATAATAAGCCTCACAGGCTTGCTGATAGGTCAGTCTGATGATGGGGGTGTATTATTTTTAACTGAGATTCTTCTTCTCAGATGACTCTAATTTGTGTCTATTTGATAAACACCACCAGCCAGGACAGCATACAATTTGATTAAACCCACCCCATCTCTTCCTTATCCTGCTTCCCTCCCATCTTTATGTGGTCCTTTGGAATCCACCGAATCTCCTTAGTACTCCAGTATGTCCACCTACTGGGCCGCAGCAGGAGCATAGCCAGCCTCTGAGGGGCTGCATCCCTGAAGCAAACTGGCCCTTGCTCTTGTCCAGCAGCTGTCAATTGCCAATAGCTCTTCAGATAGGGGTGGCAGGACTCTTCCTCATCCATGCTGGGATTCTGGCTGGCTTGATCTTGTGCAGGTGTTGTGTGTGCACTCTCAGCTGCTGCTGACCTTGTGCAGGTGTTGTGTGTGCACTCACAGCTGCTGCTGACCTTGTGCAGGTGTCAGGTGTGCAGTCTCAGCTGCTGTTGATCTTGTGCAGGTGTTGTGTGTGCACTCTCAGTTGCTGTTGATCTTGTGCAGGTATCATGTGTGCAGTCTCAGCTGCTGTTGATCTTGTGCAGGTGTTGTGTGTGCACTCTCAGCTGCTGCTGACCTTGTGTAGGTGTTGTGTGTGCACTCACAGCTGCTGCTGACCTTGTGCAGGTGTTGTGTGTGCACTCACAGCAGCTGTTGATCTTGTTCAAGTCTTGTATGTGCACTCACAGATGCTAAGAGTTCATGTGTGCGACTGCCCTTTCCTGTTGGAAAAATTTTTTTACATTTGTTCTTTATCCCTTTTGCTCTTATTACCTTCTTGCTCCCCTCTTCTTGGATGATCCCCAAGTGTTGAGGGGGTGAGTATATGTTGTAGCTTGCAGAGTTTACAGATGGGTGATATTAATGAGTACTTTCTCCTTTAGTAATAATCATAACACCTTCTAGCATTATGAAAGTTAGAAGGCACGTGCTTATAATTTGACTAGTCAGTAGGGATGAAGCTTCCAGGTCAGTGCCAACTTGATTTCTCCATGTCCTATGACTTGAACATGTGGTGTCTTCAGCAATAGGGTGTTACCATGAAGTCTGGAGAGTAACCAATAATAGCTTATGTTTTGAGGGGTCTATAGGACCCCATTGACTATAAGTTCTCTTACTTCCTTAAATTCTATTAAGTGTGTCCCCACAGTAAACAGCATCTGTTAGGCCATACAAAAAGCTTTATTGCTCACTAGCACTAAGGTTGACATATACAGAGAGAGCCCAGTGATGTGTGGATGACCCCATAGACTGGGGTATAAATAAAGTTCCAGTGCTTTGTATAGTATTTGCCTCTGAGCTTCTAACTCCTCTCCTGGCTCTGGCTTGCCAGGATGCTCATCTCTCTTTGTAAACTGTTTCTGCTTCTGCTGTTGCGCATGTGCCCTGCCTAGTTTCTCGTTCTGCAACACAGGAACCTTGAAATTCCAGTGAGTGGTCATCAGACTCCCATATCTACAGATTTATCACTATATTCCTCAACATTAAATATACCTTAGCATAGTATTTTATTATCAAAAGGTGAATATAATGTTTACATTCTTCAAGATAGTACAGTAACTAATAATTCAAAAATCTAAAAGCCATTAAACTCTCTTTGGGAGAATTTAACAACTATTGTGAAATTAGTTCATGTCATCATTTTGATGACAAGGTTTGGAAGTGAGTAAGCCGGGAATGGAAGCAAACCCATTCCAGTTGCTCCAAGTTACAGGCCCATTTCTGACAGGACATAGTGTGGTGGCAGCACCCAAGCCAGGATCTCTCTCTGGGGAGGAAATGCCTTAATAAGGCTTCCAGCTGAGCCCAACCCAACTGGGAAGTCTTTAGTTTTGGGAAATGAGCTGTAGTTCTCTGTAAATGAGAGGAAGAAGAAAGGCCAGGCTTCCCAAGTCTCTTGTTTTCAAATTCTCATGGTGTGTGATTGTGCTGTGAAAGATGTAGTCCCTTAAAAATGCCAACAGCAGGGAGACATGCAAGTGAGACATGTGTGGTCCCTTAGCATAGTATTTTATTATCAAAAGGTGAATATAATGTTTACATTATTCAAGATAATACAGTAATTAATAATTCAAACATCTAAAAGCCAATTAACTCTCTTTGGGAGAATTTAACAACTATTGTGAAATTAGTTCATGTCATCATTTTGATGAGCATCACTCAGCACCTGCTTTTCAAGCTGCTGCTGTTTTTGTCTACAGGTCTACAGCTTGACAGGGTACTGGGCAAAGCTGAACTCCAACCTCGAGTACGTCAAGTATACGAAGCCTCACTTACACTATCACAACAGTGTTGTGAGGAGAGAATGGCATAACTTGATCTCTGAAGAGGTGAGCTGACAGGAAACATGGAGGCTGAGTGCGGCCAGCTCATGTTGGCTGTCCTCTGCCCGTCACCAGGCGGTGTGGCCTCAGTGACGAGTCAGTGGGCAGCCAGGACTGTGTCTGCTGTCTGTTCTCTGAGGAGGAAATTGGAGTGAAAGGAGTAAAGGGACACGTGACACATGTGTAACAGAAGCACAAGGGACATGTGTCAGGGGCTGCTGGCTTACTTGAATAACTGAAAGATTATTTAGAAAATGGAGGTGCTCCCCAGATAGTGTTTGCTAGAGGTGGGGGGAGAAAGAGTTGGTGAGAGGGACTGGAAAGGGGTTGGACAGGGGAGCTCCCTAAGGAAATGAAACAGTTCTGTATTTTGATCAGGATGGTCCATTGTAGTTTATAATTCTACACACATGATAAAATGGCGTAGGACTATACACGTGCTGTACAATATCATTTCCTGATTTTGACATAGCAGTAGAGTTACATTAGATAGAAACATTGAGACAGGGCGCAGGGTGCCTTGGACGGGTGCACACTGCAGGATAGCATCCCTGGCTTCCTGTGATTATATTGTTTAAGAGTAAAGTTTAATTTAAAAAAAATAGGTGTTTTCATGACATGGGAAATATTATTGTTTGAATCATTTTAACTACATTGCCTTTTTGTTCTTGCTATTAAAAAAAAAAAAGCTATCCATGAAATTTTTGCTTTCCATATTCCTGACATGTTCTCTTCCCTAGAAAACGGGAAAAAGAAGGTCCACGATGTATGTGAGGAACATTCTTGACAATGCAATAAAGTAAGTACAACCAAAGGGTGGTGGTGGCTGGCTGGTCAGCTGCCTCTGTGGTGTGCCTCGGGCAAGTGTCCTCAGCTTCCTCTAACCCACTGGGTGCTGGAGTTCTAGTGGGGAAAACTTCTAGGTTACACCACTGTGGATCGGACCCTGGAATGGAAGGCTTAAGATGGATAAATGGTACAGAGGGGATGTTTTTGAGGGTGAAATAGAAAGCAGGTTGATTTAAGTTGTTGGTGGCACTTGCTTTTATTTTGAAAGCTGTTTTCTGAGCAGATGAGTCATCTCAGAGTGCTGAAAGTGGAGGCCCCATTCCAAGGCCTGTTCTATTTTCTGCCTTCATTATTCCCAATAACCAGGAATGGCAGTTCTTCTAAATAATTGCTGTTGCTGGCACTAAAGGGCTTTGAGAGTTCTAATAGCTTAGTGTGCCCTTTGGCACCCTGATTAGAGTTTCTGAGTTCTCTGGTAGGAAGAGAACAGCTTCTGCAGTGGTCTGTGAGGCTGTAAGCAAGGGTCTCTCTCCATAGTGCTGGGGTTCTAAATTTTCTAAATGTTTCCTTTGTAAATAACACACACTTTCTTCGCAGGGTGATTTCTAACATGGAAATAAGGACATTGGGTAAGAAAGGACCTGTACTACAGTCCATGTCTTGTTTGCAGCATTGTTCTTCCTAACCAGTGGGCTGGCAAGAAAATCACTCGAAGCAGTGTAATGTGTGTAATGGATAGCAACAGCTTTTAATGTCACCCTGTCGGAGTGAGCACATAGCCAGTCCCATGACTGTCTTGGCACCAGGACCTGAAAGAGTCCCTGGGTGTTGGCCTCCTGCTTTTCCTCATGTCTCCTCTCAGAGCTGATCTAATTAGCATGGCCGCTGGCTGTACCCGAAGGCTGCACTCAGCAGTTCTCTGGCATGAGCTGCTTTCTCTCCAGCTGTTGGTCACACGGTCTTTGACTTATGTGAGCCTTTCATTTCCATTCACCCTGGGTCATGCCCTGGGCTTGGTCTCACGGGAACAAAGATAGGCCTCCAGGTGAGCAGTGAGGCTCTATGTGAGTGAACACCAGATTCCAGAGCTGTCACGCACCAATCCTAAGTGCCTGCACATTGTCCTCAGGGCTAGTGTGAGGGGAACAGAAGGGCAGACTGGTTCATGTACAGAATGCCTAGTTAGCGCCTAGTTAGGGGTAAGGGATGTGGGCATGAAGGGGCTTGATGGATAAGAGAGAGGGGCTGGGAAGGCTTTCTAAGGCAGGCATCAGCTAAATTAAGTCTTGAAAGTCGAGGAGGGTTTACTCTGTGGTAACTGAGGGAGGAGAATGGGGCCCAAGACTTTCTGGTGTTGCTCATGCTCCATGAAGGAAACTACTTTTATCTACTGTTTTATTGGCTTGGATGTTTTTGTATGTGTGGAGACCCTAGTGAAAATTCATTTAGAAAGTGTGTACCAGCACACTCAACAGCTACACACACAGCCCAGTGAGCTATGAAGGTGATGCATCTCCACAGGGAACTAGCCACAGCCTGGTAGCTGAGACCATCCTTGCCTGTAACCAGGGACTGTGCCCTATGGACAGGGCATAAATGTGGGAGAGCCAGGGTCATCTTCCTGCTGTGGCTAAAAGTTGTGCAGTGTGGGAAGTGTTGCTGCTGCCTAAGGGCGTTTCTGAGCTTTGCTTGGTGCCAGGCCTGCGAGCATTGCCTTGCTGGGCAGCATCTCCCAGTGCGTTTTAAAAGCTTTCCTTCCTGTCCCTTGCTTTGCTTCGCATGAAGAATGCTGTCACTGCCTGAAACTGAACACTGCAAACTGAGGGTTGTTGAGCTCACATTCTGAATAGTTTCACCATATTCCAGAGGATGGGGAAAGAAAGCATTTGTCCTAAGGGGCCAAAGAGCCCATGCCTTTTCAGAAGGAAGCATTAGCTCACGGGGTCTGCCCTCTTGCCTGCTCTGAGCCTCAGAGATTCTGAGAGAAGAACCCAGTGGGGGAGCTGTCAGGAAAGCCTAAAGGAAGACACCTGCCTGCCTTCCACTGCCCCACCTTGTCAGTGCAGGGCCAGTCAGGGTGGGGAAAATGATGTTTGCTTTAACTGTCTGGATGTTCCAGGTTCTCAGTCTGATAGCTTGTGCCATAGTTAGTAACTGTCTCCTCAGTAACTTTCAAGACCATTGAACTATGGGGTCAGGAGGTAGGAGGGAGCCACACAGTCCTTCCGCCTAACTCTGGGCCTGGCATTCCTAGAGTTAGGCTGCTTGAGGGAAAGAGGCCTGTGTGGTTCTTGTAGCCGGCTTCCCAAATGCTACCCTTCTGATGGCTGCTCCTCCGTCCATTTTCAGAGCCAAGGTTAATACCCCTCTTACAAGAGGAAGATAGGCACCAGAGGCTGCTCATTGGCCTGGTAAGTCGTCCGTGGGCTTCTGGAGGACTGGCAAGCAGTGCTCCCAAGAAGCAGTGGGCAAGGACCGACAGCGGCTCATTGTGAAGGCATCTTCCATGAAGTAGTCAGTGAATCCCAGCACTATAGCCCTGGGTGTCCAGGGGTGAGCAGAACATGTATGATCTCTGCCCTCTTGGAATATGTACTCTAGTGAAGGAGGCAGATTAGTCACATGAATAAGAATTCAATCAAAATCCCTGATAAGGAACACATGTGTATTTATGCTTACATTCTGCAATTCTAGACACATTTCCCTGCTTTTAGCTTTTACATGGGTTTTCGGGATCTGAACTCAGGTCCTTAGGCTTGCATGACAGTCACTTTTATCCACTGAACATATTCATGGCCTGTTTTCATTTTTTGACTATCAAATTGACAAGCATTACAGATCATATTAACAAAACTCAGGGTACAGAAAATTGGCTATCCTCATGCCACACATTGAAAATTAGGACAAACTGTTTTGGTGGTATCTTACAAAAGTATGAGACCTAGCCAATTTCACTTCCAGAAACGGAATCTGACTGAAAAGTTGTGGCTACGGTAAAGCCCTTTTCTTCCCCTCTCTCCCTTTACAATGAAACTCTGGAATGAGAATTATTTTTGTGGCCAACTCTCATGTGAACTCCATGGAGCACAGTCTGTCTGTAAAGCACAGTTCCTCTGTGGAGCACAACCACTTTGTGGAGCATAGTCACTCTATGGAGCATAGTTACCCCATGGAACACAGTCTCTCTATGGAGCATAGTCTCTCTGTGGAGCACAGTTCTCCATGGAGCACAGTTACTCTGGTTTGGTCATGCTATTTTCCCAGACCTTCTAAGCTCGCACATTCCACAGGCTTCTTTGGAGGTTTCTCATCATGGCCAAATGACTCCTAGTTGCCCCTTGGCTTTGGTTAAATCACAAGAAGTTCCTCCTGAGAGAAATGTTGAAGCCATTGATTTACCTCAGCAGAGGGTCATGTTAAGAGTCATGTTCCTTTGGGGTGGCAGGGGTGAAGGGTTTTCCTCAGATCAAGAGCTTTTCATATTGATTCCAAATATTAATAATGGCCCTAATTAAAATCAGCCGCAGGCATGAATGGGCCTGTTGTGATTTACCCAGTGCCTGTCCTCTTTTCAGATGGTGTCTGAGCTAAGAGACCATCTAGTGAGACACCTCCAGGGTGTAGAAAAGAAGAAAATTGAACAGACGACTCTGGACTACATTTCAAAACTGGTTGGTTGTGCTTTTTCCCCCAATTTTAACCCTACACCATGTTTAATTCTCAGGGTGTCAGTCAGTGAGCCTGTTGGTTTTTGTGCATATGTTTATGCGTTGTGTGTGCATACGTGTGTGTGCTGGGGGGGAGTGCCCATGGGCATGTGGAGGCCAGAGGTTGACTTTAAGTGTCATCCTCCATCACTTTACACTTTAGTTCTGGAGACAGGGCCTCTCACTGACCCTGGCTCTCATTAATGCAGCTAGGCTGGCTGGCCAATGGATTCCAGGAATCCACCTGTCTCTGCCCTTTCCCTCCCCAGCCCCATGGTTACAAATACTAGGTGTTCTGCCTGACTTTTTAGGTGGTGTTGAAGACCCAAACTCGGGTCCTCATTTTGCATAGAAGGCAGTTTGCTGACTGAGATGTCTCCCCAGCACCCTTGCCCCCCACTTTGTTTTTCAGGTTAGGTTTTGGAGATTTCCATCTTCAAACTGGTGTATTTGGGGCTATAGGTTGAGAGAAGGGTAAAAAGAACAGCAAACAAAGAGAACCTGTTGAAGGTGGTTTTCAGTGTTTCTATGCTCATGGAAGCATACGGCAATAAGGCCATATCTCATTTTGGCAGCTTCCATGTCTTCATCAAACAATAAGTGTTGATTTCTGTAATGAAGGTTGATACAGATACGAGAAAGCTTGCACTTTAATCTCCTATTAGCTCCAAAAGCTGAACTAGGCCGGCTTCCAGCTCAGCTCTCTGTCTCCTGCCACATCTGCTAATGAGATGGCCGCTCCTTGCCTGCTAACCATTACTGAGATGGTATTAGTCAAATTAATGACATCTGTTCATATGGAAATAGACATAATATGATGAGATTGGATTTCAGCCATCTTTGCTCTTTCACAAAACACTGAAACTGAAGTCTGGTCCCGAAGAATCTAGAAATAATATACTTGACAGAGAAAGAATGCTCCATTATTTCTCCAAGTTTGGGTAACTGGTATGCAAATTATACAGTGTATGAACGAGTGTCTTTGGAATATTAAATTTCTTGGCTAAAATCAAGAAGATCTCTTCAATTAATTTTGAAGTTTTCTACCTTTACTGTAGTCATTACTAACTATTTTCATATTTGAAAATCTACTGAAAGATTTGAATTTCATAATTTAAAATGTACTTTTTATTACTCATGTATTTATTTTGTATGTGTGTGTGTACGTATGTATGTATGTATGTATGTATGTATGTATGTATGTGCACCGTGTGCATGCCTGGTGCTCACAAAGGCCAGAAGAGGGTGTGTTGGATCCCTTGGAACTGGAAATGTATATGGTTGTGATCTGCCATGTGGGTGCTGGGAACTGAACCAGGGTCCTCTGGAGGAGCAATCAGTGCTCTTAATCGTTGAGTCACCTCTCCAGCCCCAGTGAATTTTATAATGTTGATATACCAGGCTGGGTATTGTCATATAATGATATTTATAACCAGGGCATCCAGGTTTCTCTATCTCCCTCTGGATAGAACATCAGTGAAGTACACTTTAAGAATACGGTACTGACCCTTCCCACAGTGACAGCAATGTTCTTAGTCATTTGTCTCTCTCTTCAAAGATGGAAGTCTTCTTTCTTTCTTTTGGTCAACTGTTTTTTAAAACAAGGTCAATTTTAAAGCAATATGGTAAGTGGTTCTGTTGATGAGTGCAGATATACACAGGAACAGTAGCTTTCATGAGATCTGTTGTCTTCAGTAATGATCAGGAGATACTTGCACAATAACCATCTCAAGCCCACAAGACCTCATTCTCACATCGGTCATTTTTAGCTTTGCTGGTAACCCAGGCATAGCTCCCCCCAACCCCCAAAGAGCCTCGCCTCCTTAAGGCGCAAGAGCATCTTGTTCGTGCTCACTGCTATAGTCATGCCTTTGGTGATTACACAGGGTAGTATAGTAGGGATGACGCATTTGTTTTTCCACACCAGGTATTAGCAGGCAACAGGTGGCTCTCAGCTTAGGATGGGAGGCAGGGGGCTGGCTTAAAGAACCTGTCATGCTGAGGAGGCTTTCTTTTGAAGTCATCACCAACAAAGCTGCCGAAGGTGTCCACCTCTCCATGCCTTTTCCTCTTTTTTCTTGGAAGAACCTTGTATCCCTCTTCATGTGTCTAGTGGATGTGTCATTTATATTTCCTTAGCAAGGTGCTGCTTATGGTGGAGTGGCGGGGATGTCCTTCTGTATTCTGTGAATATATATTTCTCTTATTGGTTGATGAATAAAGCTGTTTTGGCCTATGGACAGGCAGGATGTAGCCAGGCAGGAAGTATAGGTGGGGTTACCAGACTAAGAGAGTTCTGGGAAGAAGAAGGCAGAGAGCGATTTGTAAAGAGACGCCATGTAGCTGCCGAGGGAGCAATAGGACCAGGCATCACCAGTAAGCCAAGACCAAGTGGAATTACAAAGATTAATAGTTATGGGTTAATAATTAAGTGAGAGCTAGCCAATAAGAAGCCTGAGCCACCAGCCAAACAGTTTATAATTAATATATTATAATCTCTGTATATTTATTTGGGACTAATGGTTGCAGGCTCCGGTAAGACAGAAACTTCTGTCCACAGTGGAGCTTAACTTTAGATTGCCAGCCCCTCATTTGAGCCCCTCTACTTTTTTTCCTCATGTAATCTCAATGTTGTCTGAGGCATTTTTTATATAATGTTTGTTATATAAGTCCATTTGTTCATTTTGTGGTGTGGTGACTGCTGCAGAGCCATTGGGAATGGCTTTCAGAGAATAAAGAAGCTCCGAGTGTTGTGTCTGAGAGGCTGGTCACATCATGCAAGGGTCTCTTTCTGTTGACGCGTTTCACCTTCTAAAGTGCTAAGAATTTCCATTCTAGCGTTCTTCCTCACTGTACTTAATCACACACAAGTTTTCACACTAGTTTGTGCCAATTCCTAGAGCTAAGAGACCCAGAAAATGATGCCTGTGTTGACTCAGAAACACCATGCCCCTGACTTACCCTGACTTGCCCCTGACTTGCCAAGTTGCAACCAGCAACTATGCTTGTCTAAAGAGAGTGGCTAGGCAGTATTTCTGGAAACATGTTCAAGGAAGTAGCTGTAAGCTTGGTGATACTGTCCACGCATAGCTTGCTTTTAGCCAGAGAATCCTCTGTTACCACTGTTGTGCATGGGGGCTCCTTCCTGCTCTTACCCTGCATGCAGGTGCACTGGTTCATGGCAGATAGCCATGTGGAGCCTGCTCTACTGGTGGAAAAACTTGTAAAATTAGAGTAAGTTTCTAGACAAAGCCCTAAGGCCAAGAAGGCATCTGGTTTGAGTGATACAACACTGAATTGTTGAGCACTGGATCCAGTGAGTGACTTAACTAATTTTTACAACAACCATGTGAAAGTACTTCCTCTCATCTCACAGAGAAGGACAGTGAGTTTTGGAGAGGATGGGTAACTTGCTAGGGAGACACAGTCCACAGAACCTGGCCCCGTTGTCATCTTTCCCCACAGCTCATGTACACGACTCTATGGCGCCCATTATCCTCCTTCACTGGCAGGGCAGCAGGCTGACAGCTAACCCTTGGCATTTGACCTTCACCGATGGGCGAGGAGGGTTGGTGTGAATGGTGGAGCCAGCTAGCTGCTCAGTGGAACATTGCGAGCATAGACAGAGGGCACTGTGTTCCAATGGGGCACATTTCCAGTCTTTCCATGTTGGATTTCAGTGCCTCACAGCTGATTTCAGAAAGGCTAGTTGTATGGTGTGCCTGGCCACAGCCTGAGGGCCAACTTTCTTGGACATGCAGTCTGAGCTGCAGAGAGACTGAGGGGAGGGCCTTGAAGGAAAGGATGCAAGCTCTGCTTCATGAATCCTCTTTCCTTGTAGCTGAATCTCATTTGGTGCATGCTGGAAACCATCTGGAGAAAACACAGTGTGCATCCGTGGGTTCTCCACCTGTACGCAAGTATTGTTCAATCTCCTTTGTCATGGTGTGCCAAGAGCTAGTAACTGCTGACTGCCTGCTCTAGAAAAGGCCCTTTGAAACGCTAGTCCAAAGCAGTGCTCATTAACCCTGTCAACATCTCTCTTAGTTTTGTACTCAGAATTCAAGGCTAATTCGACTGTCCTCTGTGGCATGTGCTTGATAAGGAGGGAGAGACACATGAGGCCACTATTAAGAAGGGGATTTTAAATTAATGTAATTAGTCATTTATGAGCCCACTGAATCTGGTGTGAGATTCTAAACCTTAGGCTGTTGGTCAGTCTCTCATTTCTGTGGCTTTCCACAGTGTATAACATTTCATAAGAATCTTCTGTATGTGGTTCTCAGAGCCACGATTCAGGACTAACAGGGGGTGCAGCTGACATATTACTTGGTTGTTTTTATCCAGCAATAACCGTGGCAGTGCAGCGGATTTTGAAGTTTTTCACCTCATGACCAGAATTTTGGATGCTTCTAACAATCTGTGTTTCCCTCTGCCTCCTGGTGAGTCTTGGCTCTTTGATTGTTTGGTGTAATAAAGTTGTTTTTCACATGGTCTCCAGATAGTAACACCCTGGATTTGAACCGGGCGCGCATGTGTCGGCAGCTGGCTCTGGTGAAGGATAGCCTTGAAATTGGTCTCTGGTGGCGGACCACCCTGACTGCCAACTCCACCGTTGCCACCTCAAGGAAGCGGTTCCCATCAGTCCTCATGTGCATGTTTAGTCAAACTTGGACCAATGGTGCTGTTACAGGGAACTTGCTCCGCTAGCCTCAGGTCTGAAGGTGAACACAAGGGAGGGAGTGGTCTGGCTTGATGTTGAGCATTAGGCCCTTAAGTGCTTGGAGGTTGAAATTTTTCTTCAGGATTTTGAGAAAAGACCTAATTGGATTTTAAAACACTCTGTGTGTGTGTGTGTGTGTGTGTGTGTGTGTGTGTGTGTGAGTGTCCAGTTATTCATGTAAGTGACATTGGATCAGAATGTGTGCAGTAACCATTTCATGCCACCAGTTAATGTAGGAGAAACAAAAGCAGTTACAGACACTAGTGGGAGTGGAATAGGATGACGTTTGCATAAGCCTGACTGACGTCAGAAATGCATTAGCTCCTGTTTGCCATAAACAGCTGCCTTGTGTTGACTATGCTTTCTTTATAATGGGAAGAATATCTAACATGAGATCAACCTTGTAGCACATTAAGTGTGCAGCAGTGTTGCACAGTAGAGCTTTTTTTTATCCCACAAACAGCCTCTCTTCACAGTCAATGGACAGCAGCTTCCCTTCCCATCTCCCGGCCTGGGCCACCACCTTTCTGTTGTTTCTATGACTCTACTTTAGATCAATCTTATAGACTCATGTAGTGTTTGTCTCTTCTGTGACATTTTAACCTCCATGGGGCCCTCAAGATCTGCTCATTTGTCATGGATGACAAGATTCCTTTTTTTTTTTTAAAGCTGAGTAACACTATGCTTGTGTGTTTTACGTGCTATTTACCTGTTTATCAGTGGGTATTTATGCATCTTGGTTAGTGTGAACAGTTTAATGAACATTAGTGTACTAATCTCTTTGAGTAGCTTGACTTGAATTTCTTTGGATGCACAGGAAGATTATGGGGTCATATGCTGCTTCCATTTTTAGCTTCTTGAGGAGGTTCATGTAGTCTTTCTCAGTGGCTGCATCATTTTATGGTCCCACCAGCAGTGTGAGAAGCTTTGTGTTTCTCCACACTCTTTCCAACACTTAACCCTCCCTGTTTTTGGACCCTGAGATATGGGAGGTAATGCACACCGTGGTTTTGATTTGGATTTCACTGATTAGTGACATTGACTATCTCTCCATGTAATTCTTTAGAAAAAAAACTCTTTTTAGGTCTTCCATGTGTTTAATAAAATCAGTTGTCTTGTTATCAACTTGTCTCATTATTTTTTTTTTGTTCTGGATATTCATATTTCTGGTTTACAAGTATTTTCTCCCTCATTTTGTAGCTGCCTTTTCACTCTGTAACTTCTTTGCTTTCCTTCACCCCTGAGTCCCATCCCCCTGCCACATTGCAGGCTCAGGTAGCTGAAGATGGCTTCAAACTTTTGCAGCCAACACTGGCCTTGAACTCCGGATCCTGATCCTCTAACCATTACTGGGATTACAGGTGGCTTCTCCTTTGCTATTAAATGCTATTCTCTTCATATGAGAAGGGAGGAAAGGGTGAAGTGGCACTTGGTGTGTGTGTGTGTGTGTGTCTGTGTGTGTGTGTGTATGCGTGTGTGGTGTGTGTCTGTGTGTGTGTGTGTGTGTGTGCATGCATGTGTGTGTGTGTCTGTGTGTGTATGTGTATGCGTGTGTGGTGTGTGTCTGTGTGTGTGTGTGTGTGTGTGTGTGCATGCATGTGTGTGTGCGTGTCTCTGTGTGTATGTGTATACGTGTGGTGTGTGTGTGTGTGTGCGCGCGCGCACACACACACACACACACACACTCTAGTGTGCACATGTACGTGCAAGGGGTTAATACGCGCGTGTATAAGGGTGCTTGCTCTTCAGGTCTATAGTGCTAGTAAGAATTGAGTTTCAAGAGCCAAACTCTTAAATAGAAGCAGGGAGTAAGGAAGTTGCAAGCGGAGTTTTGTTTGGGGGATTTTGTTTGTTTGTTCTTATATTTCTCCCCCTGGCTACAGCAAGGCCAGCATCCCTGGGGGATGAGGATTAAATGGGATGACACTGATGGCTAGTTATAGCCCATGTACCTTACTCAGAGCTGACATACACTGATGAGGTCATGAACAGGCTGCTGCACTTGGGACTGTGCCAATGAAGCCAATGGAGGGTCACTGGGATGTTCAGCACATCCACAGGATTGGAGAAGGAATTTTGAATCCTGGGACAGGATTCATGATTTAGTATAAATGCTTTTTCAGGAATAATTTTTGACTTTATTAGTCTGGGAAAGAATTTCCAAGTCCACAAGAAAACATTAGTGTTGGTTAGTAATACTATAATTTGTTTTGAATCAGGGACATAGTGAACTCAGTCTGTTTTTAGCTCATTCACATCTACTTGAGGACAACATCTGCATATCATCTGGCCCTTGAGGTTGCTAGGAATTAGGACTGTTCCACAGCTCATGACTCGTACGCTCAGAGAGAAAATGCCACAGTTTCTCAGAATCCAAACCCCACTCCCTGAGCACATTTGTTCTGCTGTCTGCGTCCTTGAGAGCAGGCAATGGTTCTCTGTCACCCCTGCATCTGGTCAGTTGTTAGACATGTGTGTGTCGCCATGGGACCCTTCCTACGCTGGCTAGTCTTAGAGTCATCTGAGAGGAGGGAACCTCAATTGAAACATTACCTCCTAAGATTGGGCTGTGGCAAGCGCACAGGGCATTTTCTTTATTAGTGATTGATGGAAGAGGGTCCAGACCATTGTGGGTGGTGCCATCCCTGGGCACCTGGTCCTGGCAACCTGGTAAGAAAGCAGGTTGAGCAAACCAGGGGAAGCAAGCCAGCAAGGAGCACTCCTCCATGGCCTCTACATCAGCTCCTGCCTCCAGGTTCCTGCCCTGCTTGAGTTCCTGTCTCTATGGCCTTTGATGATGATGTGGAAGTGTTAGTGAAATGAACACTTTCCTCCCCAGGTTCCTTTAGTTGTAGTTTCATCACAGCGCTAGAAACCCTAACCAGGACATTTCTCTACCACCTCATTCCCCTTAGCTCCCCCAGTCCCTGTTGTACGTGTCCCAGCCACAGTGCTCCTATGGGTCTAATCCATTCTTTGTTGGCAAAGTAGCAGTCCAAAGGTAAAATTCAGTTCTTTTATCATGTTTAAAATCTTTCAGTGCCCCCTCAAACTTTCCTGGACTGATAAATTCCTTGATAGTATTCACCATTGGGTCCATGTTATACGGACACATAGCATAGGGTTGCTCACATATAAATATGTGCTTAGTTTTATGAGGAACCAATTACCACCTCTACCATACCAGGGGTCATCAAGAGTGGGGATGGCCACTGTTTTGTTCATTATCCTACTACCCACCCTACCTGGTATGTGAGGGTGTCCACCACTGTCTGGTGTGTGAAGGTATCCACCCTGTCTGGTGTGTGAGGGTGCTCACCCTGTCTGGTGTGTGAGGGTGCTCACCCTGTCTGGTGTGTGAGGGTTCTCACCCTGTCTGGTATGTGAGGGTTCTCACCCTGTCTGGTGTGTGAGGGTTCTCACCCTGTCTGGTGTGTGAGGGTGCTGAATAAGCTTTCTTTGTCCAGACTTACCTGGGAATCATTGCTTTCTATCAACAGATTTCCACTCAAATGGTCACTTCATGTTCATGCTGTTCTGTTAACTCAGCTATGTTACTGATGTATCATGATCCTCTGTTATTTCAACCTCTTGCTTACTATTTATAGGATGTAGGGAAGTTTCTCAGCTCTGGTGACACTCAGTTTTCCCATTCATAAATGGGCATCTATTAATTGCATCTGATAGTGCTGGAAGTGCCACAGGTGGGCCCTTGTTCACTTAGAGGGTGTCCAGTGTTAATCATGCTGTACCATGCATTGGGCTCTCTCTGTACACCATTCTATTCCTCATAATAGCCCAAAAGGAAAGGTCAGCAGCTCCATTTTAGGGATACAGCAAGGAAATTCAGAAGGTCAGTTACTTAGAGCTGGTCACCTAAGGTGAACAAGGGTGGTGATGTCTGCCCTGGCATTTTCAACACACTAAGTGTATATCTTTTCAAAGATCCCCAAGATGCTGACATTCCAAAGAGGGGTTTTCTTATTCTCCCCTGGTCTGGAATCTTCTTCCATGTGTCTTGCTTTCATTCATTGTCACTGATAGGGTGAATAGAGCTCTGGGGTTGTAGCCTTACTCGTGAGACTTGGGCTTGAGAAAGAGTGCAAGTCTTCATTTCTCCTGAATTCTTTCAGGGTTCTGATCTGGTTATGTTGTCTACATTTCTTCTTTTCTACAATTTAGTCCAAGGAGAATCACAAAGTCTTTCTCTATGAGATGACCAGAAGGTAGGCATACAAACCGTTGCCATCTGGTCCTAGGGTTGTCTGGGGTTTTTTTTTTTTTTTTTTTTTTTTTTTTTTCCCTTCAGCAAAATGGTCCCCATTCCAAACTTTTTATCATGGATCTGTGGAGTTTGAAGATCTTTTATGAAGGATAGTGAGAAAATATTAGCCAGGAACCATATAGCCAGTGTAACATTTAGTTGGTGTCACGGGGAAGGGGACTTGGACCTTGTCTTAAAGGGGTCACTGACCCAGACCCTAAGCACGGCACCCAGAGCTTCGTTAACATGATTAATTTGTTCTCTCTGGAGCCTGGAGGTGCTGGCTGTTCACATCTGTTTCTGCTCCACTCACCCCTAGGTTTCCACTCCCTGCACATGATTCTTGGGGTTCACTGTCTCCCTTTGTACAACCTGCTGCACTACATTGATAATGGGGTGCTGTTGCTCACTGAGACAGCGGTCACAATGCTTATGAAAGGTAAGCAATCCTGACTTGAGCAGAGTGGGGGTTTCAGGCAGGACACCCTCAGGGCTGACTTCTGAGTAAGTGACACACACAGGTCCAGCTACTCTCAGAAAGGTCCATGCACAGCTTAACGTTCTGCAATATACCTGAGACAGGGTTTCTCTGTGGAGCCCTGGCTGTCCTGGAACTCATAGAGATCCACCTGTCTCTGCGTACTGAGTACTGGGATTAAAGCCATACACCACCACTGCCTTGAAGTTCTGATTATTTGAACATCTGTCACTTAATTTTCATCTTTCGGTGGGCCCTACCAGTTCTTAGTACAGCCCACTTCCCGGAACTGTCTTTCAGGCCAGTTGGAAGCGCTTTAGCCCTTCAGGAGGCCCGGAAGAACTTCTGATTCCATGCCTTGCCCTTAGTGAGAAGAGGCTGGGAGACTATGAATTTGTTTTTCAAGAGTGTATTACAAATGGCTTACTTTCAGATAATTCATTTTGTCATCTCAAAATTAGACTTGAAATGCCAGAAAAACTAACGAGAGATACAGTGCTTGTGTGACCCTGACCATCAAGGGCTGCTTTGTGATCTTTTGCATGTAAGTCACTCATGCATGTGTTTTGTTAATGTCAGAGCATTTTCCAGTCTTCAGAGAACCTTATGTTCCTGTGTTGGTGGATAAAATTGCTCAGTGGCTGGCAGCTGTTACAAAATAAAAGCCCCCTTAATTCCGAGTCACAAGAAAAGCTTTGAAAACATCTCTAGCTATGAATAAAGGCTTGGAACGCCTCAGGAAGAAACACTCAGAATTTAAAACTTGCTGAGGTATTAAAATGGATATGTCTGTCTTATTTGTTAATCTCCAACTTTCTTGTAGATCTGGACAATTCAGAGAAAAATGAAAAGCTAAAATTCAGCATCATTGTGCGGCTGCCTCCGGTAATACTGAAATTCCCTTCCTCTCAAGTCTTATCTACCAGCCTTCCATTTGTCTCTTGTAAAAAGGCCTTTTTCTTGTTGGAGGCTGGGCCTGTTGAGTTGTTTCACTTTTCAGACTTTCTATGAAATCCCACCCACCTCTGCCTTCTACCATCGTGTGCTTCTCTGTGGATCATTTATCCAGTTCTCCTCTTAGGTAACAGCCCGAGTAGGAGGGAGAGGGAAATGCAGGCCTTTGACCTTTAAACACAGGAGGTCAGGAAGCTCCGAAGAGCATTTTCTCCTCCTGTCACAGTTCTGAGCACAGGCAGACATTACCAGGTCAAAAGAAGAATGAAAACCCTGAGAGGAAAATGTGAGGCCGGCACTCCTTGCTCGTTTGTGGGCGATGTTAGCTCTCAGAGTTGGAAAACATGAAATTCCACAACAAGGTCCTTCAGCCCTCTGACTTTGCAAACTTCCTGACCCTAAGAGCCTGGCCAGTGTGCTGTTTACAAACTGAGAACAGCCGGGACCTTTGGCAGCGGCCATCCTCTGTCCCTTGGCTTTCTGGACCTGATGGTCAGGCCTTTGTTGTCACTCCTGTCACAGGCTTCCTGAGAACAAAGTATCCACCCTTCCCATGGCTCTGTCTCCCACAGGTCTCCAACGCTGACCTTTTTGAATTAGGGCATTTAAAATTCCCAGGGCAGATAATGGAGGAGAAAGCAGCAGAAACACACATTTCACCTTTAGTTTCTGTTTGGAGTGTCACTCTGTTGCCATGCTCATCCCTAGCTTTCAAGGATCTCAGATTCAACATCATTCCTGGAAAAAAGGAACTTGGCACACTGAGGTAAAAGTTGCTCTCCTCAAGCTGAGGAGAGCTAAGGGTATTCATGAAAACTTCAGAAGCAAGTCTCGTGAGCTTGGCTTTTCTTCACTGTCACGAGACACACAGGTTCTGCATTTTAGAACAGTTTGAAGTTAAAAGTAGGTATGTGGCCCGTTCGATGCACTGTGACCTACTCTCCTCTGTGTGATTCTTCAACCTCACTGTAGCTTATTGGCCAGAAGGTCTGCCGGTTTTGGGACCATCCCATGAGTTCCAACATCATTTCACGGAACCATGTGGCACAGCTGCTGAAGAACTACAAAAAAGAGGTGAGCCTATGCGAAACCAGGCAGTAAGTGTTCTACGGACACCATCTGCCACTTTCTATCTGCCCTGATAGACAGCCACAATTCTGTTTTTTATCATTTTATTTAAAGTTGAGTATGTTTTGGAGAAGCAATTAACAAACGGGGAGTGTTTTCTCTTTTAGCCTCGAAACTCTATGATTGGCAAGTCATCATTCCCAACAGAATTTCTGCCTCTCAACTACTTCATTGAAACTCTGACAGGCCTAGAGTCCTCCCACCAAGGTAGCCCACTCCGCTGTTCCCAGGAGATTCTCTTGACGTGTTAGTCACTCTCTAGTCTAGCTTGTATTGTTCCCTTCTCTAAAGCCCCTTATAAGTTATGCCCTTATAAAAATTGATTTTCATTAGAGAGAATACTGTACTTCCGAAATTACCCAAGGAATACTTACCTTTGAAGATTGAAAGGGGCTCGAGGTATTTAAGGTCTGGGAATACCATTGATGGGAATACTCTTTAGTGCCAAAGTTTAAGGAAACTAACAACATAGTCTCAGAATAACACTAACACCTAAAATGATGTTCCCAGTGAGCTGTGGGAACAAAGTTGTAAATAGCCATGGCTCATTAGTAACAACATTCTCTCTCCCTTCCTCAGCTCTGTGTGATTTTGAAGGACAAGACAATGTGGACGCAGAATTTGTAGAGGAAGCTGCTCTGAAACACACCATGGCGCTTTTGGGTTTATAAAGTTGATGTGCAGATGCCCTGTTTTCATTGTTTCAATACCGTTGCCAGCTGCTTTTCCTGGGACTTCCTCAGCAGCCTTTAAGACTGGAAACAGGTCAGAATATGTTGCAGAGATGTTTGGGCTTCAGTTTAGTTTATGCTCAAACAGAGCCAGAAGCTACATCTCTTTCCAGTGTGAGCAGCCAGTGAACAGTCAAACTCAAATAGTTTGAGACTTTGTACTGTGGCAGGGACAATGCTCTTCCTGGTGGCTCAGCAGGTTGGGAACTAGTTCTGTTGCACCCCAGAGTCAAATAAAAAAACCTAGGAAACAATGCTTAGAACTGGAAGAGCTAGATGGATTACTGGATAAACATCAAACAAGCAGATAAATTAAATGTTGTAAAGAGGACTTAAGAAGAACCTGGATTCAGACTAAACAAAACCTGCTATTTCCAGCATGGAGTAATTGTGATGAATCATATTTGTACATATGCGACTTATAGCAGCCTTTGTGGTGGTTCAGATAGACTTATTTAATTTTTATATTTATGAAAGTTTGAGTTAGTGATATCTTTTCATTAAAAATGACCTCTGACACTGAAGGCTTTGGTTTGACTCTTCCCTGGTTTATTTTCCAAAAAAATTATTTTTTTTATTAGTTCAAATTAGAAACAAGACTGCTTCACATGTCAATCCCTGTTCCCTCTCCCTCCCCTCCTCCTCCACCCTTCACCAACCCTCCCACCCCATCACCCCTCTGCTCCCCAGGGAGGGTAAGGCCCTCCATGGGGGATCCCCAAAGTCTGTCATATCATCCTGGGCAGGGCCTAGGCCTTCCCCTATGTGTCCAGGCTGAGAGAGCATCCCTCCATGTGGGATGGGCTCCCAAAGTCCTTTCTTAGGCCAGGGATAAATACTGATCTACTACCAGGGGCCCCATAGAGTGCTGAGGCCTCCTCACTGATATCCACTTTCAGGGGTCTGGATCAGTCCCATGCTGGCCTCCCAGCTATCAGTCTGGGGTCCATGCGCTCTCCCTTGTTCAGGTCAGCTGTTTCTATGGGTTTCCCCAGCCCAGTCTTGATCCCTTTGCTCATCACTTCTCCCTCTCTGCAACTGGATTCCAATAGTTCATGTCAGTGTTTAGCTGTGGGTGTCCGCCTCTGAAAAGAGCCTGTTTTATTCTCATGAGGCATTTTGAGCCCATCAGTACGTCCCTGCAGGAGCCCATGGCACTCACTAGAGCTTTCACCCTTTCTCATGTCCTGCACAATGTCACCCTGACCTATAAGGCTCAGCTTCCTGGGTCCGGTTCTGCTTCTCCCTTCTATTTCTGTTTTACATGGTGACACTTTCATGATTTTAAATATCACTATCTCATATACTAATTCACCTTATTCTCTGCAGTCTTTGTTGTGCTCTAAAAGCCATCCTAGCCTGTAGAATTATCCCTTTTTCTTCAAATGGTCAGCCAGGCTCAGAATCGTTGTTAACACTGAGTCAGCAATGTGGAAATACTGTATATGTGCATTTCTTGTGTTACAAATTACTCTGTGCTGGAGACAAGCAGATTTTATTTAGTTCAAATTAAATAAAAAATCCCCTTTCCAATAAAATTCTTACAGAACATTTAATTTGCATTTTCAACAGTCTGTCTACTTTTTGCTGTTCTAAGTTCATTTCCCTTTCATCTTTAGAGGAAATGGATTTTCTTCCATTCTTTGCTTTCAGTCACTTCTCTTCACACCTGTATTACTCCTTTGATTTCCTAACTTGAATTTATTGGACACATATTTGGGGTAAACATCAGTTTGGCTTTGACACTCAGCTCATAATTATTCAATAACTTGCTATTCATTGAAGGGTAACACACAAACTCCTTGGCAAATATGAACATTCTTTTGAAGCCAAACCAGTTCACTCAGCCTTGGAACATGAGTTTGGCCTTCTTATTTCTAAGGTTGGATCAGGTTGTTTCCTCTATTTGGAATCCCTCACTACCTCACAAAAGCCAACTTCATGCTCTAGGGCTAGATACACACACACACACACACACACACACACACACACACACACACACACACACACACACATCTGACTGTATGTAACACAGTCCTGATGTATACTGTGGCATCTGCCTTCTCTCCACCAGCAGCACACGGCAGTGTCTAAGAACCCATCCCTACCATTCTTACGGCATTTAAGTGGTCTCTGTGCATGTTTTGAATCCCTGGAGAGGTTACTAATTCCCTCGCATGGGAACTGTTTAAGTGTGCAGTATTTCTCTTATCAGCTAAACAACTGAAGGCACTCACAAGTCATTTGCTTTGCCATGATCTTGCAAAACAATGAGGCCAAATGCAAGACTCACAAAGTGAGAGTAATTAAATTCCCATTCAATGTGGCAGGATAGGGACTTGGAACAGGATATTGGATTTAGCAATATGAAAGTATGGTATTTCTCAGTCTCCTAAAACTGGACATGAACAAAACCCATAGCTGCAACCAGCACCAAAGAAATAGCTTAAGCAAAGTAGTAAATGTAAAAGTTCAGCTCTCACATACTAGTGAATCATCATGCCTAATAAAAACACCGGAACCACAAAAACACACGGGTGAAATGAAACTTTGAGCAAGTAAGTAGAACTATTCTTATAGAAGCTCTAAGTACAGAATTTTGGCAGACATTTTGAAAAATCAAATATCAGAACTTAAAATGATCATGAATTTGTTCGTAGATAATGTGAAAAAGTGTATTTTTAAGAAATAAATTAGGGCCTAAATATTTTTGCAGCAAAAGAATCCCTGTAAAATTGAATCGCAGTAGTGTTAGTTGAGTGGACAACTTCACCATTGCTCTTCTCATGGACTTCAAGATCTGCTGCAAAGAGGACTGTGTCCTATGTCACTTAGACTATTCCCCTCTCAGCGAGTCAGATCGTGAACATATTATGAGTACCTGTTTTTCCTTTAGTAGAAAAAGACAACTCTAATTTCTGTACTTCATTGAATTTATTTTGTACTTTTGCAGCATCTTGTCTACTGTACATTCCTGAATGTAGTCAATATAAGAAATGAAAATATACTTTGACATAATTGTAGTCTATGCTCCATTTAACATCACATAACATGTGACATTGGGAATGTGAAAGGAGGCCGTGTCCCACTCTGTTGTTGACTTTACCTAACTGATGGCAGGGTTAGAACCATGATGCTCATTCTCCACTGTAGGTGTGAAGCTGGGCTGAAGTACTCTCTGGAGAAGCCTGGATTGTCTCACACATTTAGATTTCAATAGGCTTTACAACGGGTTTCCTTATGTGCCTCCTATTGGCTCCAGTTTCAGAGGGCTTAAATGGAGCCAGTGCACCATATGGTTTGGGCAGGGGAAGTTCAGTGTCTGCTTCAGGCATGTAGGCATTCGGACGCTGCTCTGCAGTTGTGTAAACGCCATTGGGCAGCAGCCGATAGTCTGTTTCCATGTACTCCTGCAGAGGGAGACGTTTCCATTTTACTTTTCCGAAAGCACTGAACTTACTTCTCCTTGGGTCCTAAAGCTTTAGGTCCTAAAGCTTTAGGCTCTGCTGGCTGATACTCACCTGTAGTTGGTTTTTCTCTTTGTTCTTCGGGGGCTGTCACTCAGTTCCCAAGTAAATACATGGAGGCTTACTCTTACTTATGGGCCTTAGCTTGGCTTATTTTTAGCCACCTTTTCTTAAATTATCCTGTCTACCCTTTGCCTCTGGGCCTTCTATCTCTCTTTATTCTATATATCTTGCTTTCCTTCTAACTCTCCAGCTAGCTGGGTGGCTGGGTGGCTGGATGGATGGCTGTGTGGCTGTGTGGCTGAGTGACTGTGTGGCTGTGTGGCTGGGTGGCTGAGTGGCTGTGTGGCTGTGTGGCTGGATGGCAGGGTGGCTGGGTGGCTGGGTGGCTGGGTGGCCCCTGGCATCCTCCCCTCCTCCTCCTTTTCTCACTCCACTTCCTTCTCCTATTGATTCTCTCTGCCTGGCAGTCCTGCCTATCCCTCTCTCCTGCATAGCTATTGGCTGTTTATTAGACCAATCAGTTTTAGTAAGCAAAAACACATCTTCACAGAATCAAACAAATGTAACATAAAAGAATGCAACACATCTTTGCATCATTAAACAAATATTCCACAGTGTAAAAAAATGCAACACATCTTAAAGTAATATTCCACAGCATTCACCAGAGGGAATGAGTACAGGATCATGAAGGCCACCCCCACCTCTGTTGCCTGTCATCTGAATGGGTGTGGGCAAAGCTCAAGCCTCATGCTGATGCTGGGGCTTAGTGTGGGTCAGAGACTGCTTGGTGGGTTCCTCATGCACAGTCCTCCAGCTCACTGTCTGTCACTGAGCTCCTTATTATTTGCACAGTTTTGAAAAAGGCAGTAATACTTTTCCTTTGCCACTGGGGAGAAATGTTAAAACAGAAATGGTGAGACTGGAACCAGGAGGAATGGCAAGCAGTCTTGGTCCTCAGCTTTTTGCCTGTGAATAAGGAAAACAACTCCCCTACAGCACTAAGTGAACTGTGGTAGAGAAAGACAGAGGGATGCCACAGGGACCCCTAGGAAGGATGGTCCAATGTAGTACAGAGTTACAAGTCAGAACCCATGCTCAGGCATGCCTGCTGTGTGTTTGGAATGTCCCTTTTAAAGCCTGGGATTAGAAAGTGAAACATGATCTTTGCAGAACCATTCATGTGACAGTCGAAGCAAACTCTCCCCACAATGTGGCCATCTAGGGAAGAGATGCCTCATTTAGTTGTAAGACTATTGAGAGATCTCAGAGTTAGATGGATGAACAGGGAACAAAACTTGCTGGTGGCTTCTGTGACCTCCCAAGACCTTGGTCATTGGGGAGGAGAAAGGGGTGTCGTGGAGGTCTATGACACGTACCAGATGTGATTCTGTAGAAGTCTATGGTAGCCATGATATGGCTGTGGAGGCCATGACAGATGGACATAGAAGAGTCGGGTGTGGTGTTAGCAAGTGTTTGAGGACAGATAAAGCCACGTTACAGGTGAAGCCAACACTAGAATGATCATAGCCATGCTGGAGGAGGCCACAGTGTTCAGTCATGACAGTTCATGACTGTGGGATGGGACTTCATGCTTGTCAGGGAGAAAGGATGTGCTTTGGATGACTAGAACAAAGTCTTCTCTACCTACCAAACTCCTTTCTACTAGTCATTCAGACTGTATGTTAGAGTGGGAAGCTTTCATGTGAGACCCTGAGATCCAAATGATCCAAATGTGATGTTACAAGTGGATAATTCCATACCAGATGTCATATTATGATTGCAGCCAAAATACAAATTTACCAAAATATTGTATGAAAATTACCTTCCGCCCATGTGTATGACATGTATATGAAACAAGTGAACCTGGGTTTAGATTTGGCCCCACTCCCTAAACATCTCATGAAAATCATACAAAGTTCCAAATGTCTCTCTTAGCAAGCCTTCCAGACAAGGGGCCATGCACTGGGTCACGAGAGGATGGGCCCTGCAGGCAGCCTCTGCTGGCATACTGTGAAGGGGAAGTCAACGCTTACCCGGGACTTCTCGGCTGTGGC